GAAAATGGCTACCAAATGCTATTATTGTGTGAAAATTCTCAATTTTATTTTTTACATTTTTAACATTATAATGCTATAACTTATTGAAAAGTGTATTTATCAATATAATTTTTTTATGGGAAATACTATTTTCTAATAATCTCTTTTTTATTCGACATACTTTGTCTTAATCAGGATATTAATAAGGAACTAGCAGTTTATGAAGCTTTTGGAATAATCCACCAATTTTTTAAAATTAAACACTATCTAAAGATTTGCATCGAAGCGTTTTTTTTTGATAGTGATTTTAATCACTGTCAGATATCATTATACTTGATCCAACTATGCCACGTCACCACTGTGTCGCGACCCCCCTGTGCTGGGTTTTTTTTTACAATTATCCTATGGTATTAAATGTTAGTTCATATTATGTAAAGTACAAAAGTAAACACTTATTACATTATTTACTGGTAATAGTACGCAAATTCTTTTCCATGAAAATTATTAACATTTAAATACGCATTTGTAATTGACATGAAAAAACAATTAGTAGTATAATTCAGATTATTAAAAAAAATTATAGAAACATTGTCTAAAACATGGTGAAATTTTAATTAAATAAGTTCATACATCATAAATTGAAACGTGAATAATAGCGAATACGTGCATTTATTATCAAATAACCTAACAAGGAATATCCTATAATAATATTATTAAAATGATAGAATCACGCAAATAAATAATTGTTATCACTTTTAACTTGGCTAACCATGGAAAACTCGTAGTTGACATACGATAATGTTTCTAACTTTTGTAATAAAGATTAGAGATAATTATTTCTGTATAAAGCGCATTAAACGTTATTATTATCCATGGAAAAGAAATCGCGTACTGTTACCAGTAAATAATGTAATAAGTGTTTACTTCTGTACTTTAAATAATATGGACTGACATTTGATACCATAGGAAAATTGTATAAAAAATCAAAATTTAACAAATTCCAAAAAGCTGTATAAACGTAACTACTGAATTAATATAAGAGTTTTGGTATCAACATTTTTCTTAAAAACTTATCTATAAAATGGCTATCTTAAAATCTTAAAAAATATTAGTTTTTAAAATATTTTTTGTAATTGCGAAAAATAACATATTTTAAATATAGTTCTATACTGTAAAAAAATTGATAAAAAAAAAAAAGTATAAAATGTTATGTAGATCATAAGTTATATAAATTGTCAGTTAGATCCGTTCCACTTTGTATACGTACAACTGACGAAACTTCAGGTAATCCTCATGCAAATGAAAAATATATTTCAACCAATTTTTACTAAATCGAGTGTATATTTTTAACTTGTGTTAGTTAAGTTTAAATCTTATTACTTTAACAAAAGAGTGAAGTGAGTTTGTGTATAATCATAAAGTATTTCCACCGTTAACTCAAATACCAATAGTTTCGAAAGTCGGGTACACTTCGTAATAGTTATAATTATTGTCTATCAACGAATTATTCGTTGATAGACAGTAAACAATTAAAACGCTATTTTATCTTGATTAATATTTATTAACTAGTGATGGTGTTATATTTTTCCAAAGGATAATATATTGCTACGACATTCATCTACTACAAAAATTTATAATTTTATTAATCGATTTCGCGAATTATCGATATTCGGAGTAATCAATTAATTGCCCTAATCAGTGTAATTATCATCGTAGTAAAATCAAAATTTTTGTAACCAGCTATTCGCAGTAATTGTTATCGGGGTAAATGTATTCAAAGGATTTTCTTACAATCTCGTCACATCGATTAGTGGCAATCCTCGTTACCCGTTCTAATACAGTTTCAGGCCGCGAAAGATGTCGTATATTTTAAAACAACTGGCACTCTAATATGTTTAATCATTTCCATTATAATTTTATGTTATGATGTAGCTAATTTTATCAAAAGACGCAGTTTCCAATATGCTGAAACAGACGGTTTGTATTTAGTTTTGCATCATTTAAATGTGTAGAGAGATTAAGAATTAATAATTTTAAAAAAAAATGTTACGCAAATATCCTACCAAGTTAAGTTTCAAATAATCGCGTAAATTTCCAATGTTCGTTTTATAAAATTTGTCTCCAACAAGAGCAGCGTTTATTTTGTTTAAAAAATAGTTACGGTCCTTAATCACCTACAAAATTGACTTATTCAAAGTTACTTTAAATCTTTACAAAGTAATACTCATAATTTAGTTCTGCGAAATGATATATAGTTATAATTTTTGTATAAGAAAATACGCAGTGCCTCAATTTTGCAACTTTGTAGTGGAAATAATAGATAATAATAATAGCATAGATATAATTTCGTTTAAAATATTAAAACTCCCTTACCTCCCCCCAATTATAATTTTCAAATCAATTAACAAACATTTTAACTGTTTGAAAGTGTGTTCGGAATAATTTAAAATATATAAATGGATATAGCCCTATGGAACATTATATGAAGTCAAACCTTTAAAAAATACTTTATTTGTTTTAAAGAAGATAAACAATATTATTCTAATAATGAGTTATTCTGTACAATACTTTTTCGTGTTTATCAATCGATAACAAAATTAAAGGTAATACGATTATACGTCGGTAAATATATTAATTAGAAGTTGCCTATACAAAGCGCCGTCTATTAGATTATATTTTTACCAAGATTAATTTCAATTGATTCAAATTGAATTATAATATTTTTTATCTGTTACAATAAGCAATCTTAGGTAATTATTTTTAACACATTTGACCTCCTATCGAGTCTTGTACTTTTTAAAAATTGATTTGCTCGTTTTAATCCTGAGAATTGCCTAAGCAAGTTACATTCCGATAAAATAAACTTTTTATATTGAAAAAAGGTATTAGGCATTTTTTAATTTTTATTAACATCGACTATTTAAATTAGTGATGGGCATAATCGAATGATTAGTAATCGAGACATTTTCATAATCGAGACATTTTCATAATCGAGTGAATCTCTCGAAAAATCACTCGAAGTTAAAATCGTCTGCTCGTATGATAAGAATAATCAACTATTATTATTTATCGAGAGAATCGAAAAATTATTCGAAATATGAATAAATATACCTATAGTAAATAATTATTAATTTAATTTTGCTTTTTTTATTTGTTGGTGTTTATTTATAATTATTATATTAAACTATAATTTAGGAATAATAATAACAATAATATATTAATAATGCATTATTAATAAGTGCTTTAAATAAAAGACAAGTTGTTATTTTTATTATTTAATAATTATTACCTATATTTTAAAAAAACCGATAACAAATTTAAAAATAAAAACATAAGATAAGGTAGCAATAGCCGGCTTGACCATCATAATTAAAACACCTGATTCCACAACTAATTGATTTTTCATAAATTCACAACTAGTGAGAGAATCAGAACTCAGTAGTTTAGCCAGTTCAGGACAAAACTTTGTTCTAATCGTCACATACTTCCCAAAAATGTGACAGATAAGGTGTTGCCATGAGTAGCGATTGAACGAGTTGAAAATAAGACTCGAAGTCAACAATTTAATAATAATTCGACTATAATTTATGCTAAATAAAAACTTAAAAATAGTATTCTCTCGTTTCATCGTTTCATGGACATCATTCGAAATAACTTTTATTCGATTATATACATTTCAAGATCAAGAAATCATTATTTTTATAATAAACGAGAAATCATTAGAAATAATCACTCGATTATAGAATAATCAATATTATTTAAAAAATCAGAATATCTCGATTATGCCCATCACTAATTTAAATTATCAAAACGTCAGTTATTATATTATATTTATAAGTTTTATTGGACTATTAAGGAAAACATAAATTTATATTGAATATAAAATATTATTTAAATAAAAAAATACAAGCATTTATTTTAGTGTTAATTACAAACATTAATTGTCTAATATACAAATAAAAACTACATAGTTTATTTAATGCTCAAAGAAGTAAGATATTAACTAAAGGCACATTTTATTGTCGCCAAGCATAATAGAATATTCCATGGTAGTATAAGTTAATTATAAAAAGAGTATAAATAAATAAATAATTAGGTAAAAGTAAAATTTATAGATTAAAAAAGTAACTTAATAAATACTCTCAAACAATAAAGTCTTAATTTTTACACAAAATTGATAGTTAAATTAAATAGATAATATATAATATAAGAAAGACGCTTTTACTTATCATACACAACCAAATGTTATCATTTGCTACCATTATTTATAGGTAATAAAGAACAATAAGTCATTGTTAAAGATTGCAAAAAATGGTATCTGAATTTAATATATTAACATGGAAATGTTAATATAATAATGTAATTGCCAATATTCATGTTAAATGTTCATATTTAATGGATTCTTATGTCTTCATCATCTGAACAATCTTCATCGTGAGTATGTGTTACCGAAACAGGCACTGATGTAGTGAACGTATTGGAACCCTGAATCTATTAATGAAATAAATATAAAATTAATATTTTACTCAGCCCTAATTACTTTTAAGTCATTCAAAAAAGAAGTTGTTCAATATTAATTACTGATAAGGCAAGACGTATTATTAAATAATAGAAAACATAGAAGTACTAACAAGGAAGAGAAGTTAAGTACAAATGTGTCAATAATAAAATATAAATTTACAATATTTATGGATAATATAAATGATTTATTGATTATCTATTCCCAATGCTGATTATACAGTTAAATAAAATAACAAAATTTTTGTATAAAAAATAAAATAGTTCACACAAGTTTTAATTTTTATGTTTTTTTAGGAGAGCTATTTGAAATATCTTAATTTCAAAAGAAATAATATAAGTATAGTTTTTGAAATTGATGTAACATTGCTATATAATATAAATTTATTGCTATTGTTCATACCAAAGTAATTGCTAAGTTTTAAATATTTTTAATAAGGTAAAACTCGTTTTACCCAAAAATTGATTTGCACCACTTGCTTAACCCCCACATGTATTTAAGAACAAAATTTATCTTACTTCATCTATAACTGAATCTAATGGTTTAATTGTTAATTCAGGTTTTTGAGTTGTAGCTTCACCATCAATAGTGTATTTAGGAGATGCTTCTTCTTGGCTTAACCTTTGTTCATGTTCATGAGCAACAGTTGACTCGTGGGGCATCTAAATGAATTAATTTTTTAATTAATATAAGTTAAATAAATTATTATAATTGTATTTTTTAAATTTAGATAACTGTAACATAGTGCTAAAAAGAAATAAACGAATACTTTCTCCTTGATTTTTATGCGACTTAAAATTAGTATGCTGCTAAAATTAAACTTTAAAATCGACATATTTTATATAGTACTTTGATATTCCCCTTCTAATAATTTATAAAAGTGTCAACGTTATTAGCTTAAATAATAGAAAATTAATTAATTAAGAAAATGACAGATTAATAATAACTTTTGAACCAATTTTTTAGAAGAGATTAAAAATTTTAAATAATAACTGGAAGTAAGGCGCAAGTGCTGCTATTTTTATTATTAGATATTTCTCAGTCTTGCTCCTTTTCCAATCTAGATATAGAAATGTTAATCGCTTTGAAAATACTGGTTCAAGAATTATATTTTTTTCAAATTGCCCCTATGGTCAACTTCGAATTTTACCATTACAATAAAACAGCTAGAAAAAAAAAGTAAGGAAACATGAATTATTATTTTGTTTGATATTATTACCCATATATGTATACTGTACTATGTAAATATATGTCGTTCTACAATAGATATCCAGAACTAATTTAGAAATAAAATTAGATAATGATATTACAAAATAAAAAAATTAATTATCGGATAGAATATACTGACCAACATCGCAGGAGCACGGAACATGTAACAAAACGGATAATAGATGAGATTGAGGAACGAGGCGGCATATATGTCAGCGTATCGGGTAACTTGTGACGAGAAAAACGTTTGCCTGGAACCCGATCTGAAGAGACTTCCCATCATACCATAAGACAAGTCCATTTTGTGCGTAACGTCCCGCATAGAAATACGTAGTTTCGATATATCAGGTTTCTCATTGGTGCTGCTATCTAAATTTCTGTAGGTGAAAATTAAATACTTCAAAGTAATTTTACCATGTACGTTCAAAATGATTTATTAGTCTGTAGGTTATGCAGTGCGATGTACACTACTTAAAGTACAAACTATGGATCATATTGATCAAAATAAACATTTAAATAACCTCGTTTCATAAAATGAGAATATTTGATTTGTTTTATGACACCAACTTACTTGTATAAGTTACCCAAAGCTATGTCGAAATTTTGAAGTTCGGTAAACAATTGACACTTGTCAGTCCACACGTGCAATTCTTGCACCAATTCCGGCACAATCAAAAATGTTCTCCACCCACGGATCTTTTTCGATTTGAGAATGTCGCCGAATATATGATCGCCTACGTATAAAACGTCTTTGCCTTTAGCCCCAATTAATTTGGTAAATACGTCGCACGAACCTTAACAAACAAATTGATATTTCGTTAGCCAATCTTAATTTTTTTTTAGTTATGACAGTTTACTTGTTTTTCTAAGTATATTTTTTCATAAATGATAAAATATTACCTCCAGAGTACACCTGGCCTTTTAGAAGGGGTCCAATATGAGTACCCATTTTCAAAGCTCCTGTTTTTGTATCTACTTGTCGCAATATGGTACCTTCACTAAAAAACAGTGGTTTTCTGGCATCCACAACGATTATATCGAAGTACGTTTGCCAGTCTCGATGAGGCTCTGTCGGCTTTAAACACAATAAAAATGAACTAATTAAAACAATACCTAAATATAGAGACTCGGCTTGTTGGAAACTAAATTCTGAAGATATAAATACCGATAGATATATGAAACTTACCGAAGCGCCATGCGGATAGTCAAACAAGTATGTCATGATTTTGTTGGTGAACCAGTAATCGCTATTGGTCAACAAAAATACTTTGGCACCACTCTGGCGAATACGGTCTAGGATCATTGGCAGTCTTGGATCTTTGTTGACATAATCTGACAAATTTTGAATTGTCCTAGCTTTCAGATCACCCTGCAAACAATGTGTTTGGATATTAATTCTAATAATATCACCACACATTAAAACAACTCACATGTATGTGCAACCAATCTATTGCATTTCTGACGTCTTGGAATATCGAGTTGAATGACATGGATAAGTCTCCACTTCGGACACCAGTCTTTTCTCTGTGCACGACAAATTTAGTTATTAGTCGGGAATGATTATTTAAACGGTAAATAATAGTAAAAAATAAACACCTCGTATAGTTGGGTGATGTTGTAAAATAGTTGATGAGACATGCTAAAAGATAAGTTTCTGGAAGATTGAATAATGTGTTGAGCACATATACTCTGGACTCGTCTAGTTGAAGGAACTTATTAGGGTATAACTCGTATACTTGTGAGCTATTGAAATATCAATACAGTATTAAAAACAAATCGAAGATATTTTATTCGAAAGAAACTTACTGTTTTAGAAATTCAAAACCCTGCACGCACACTAATATATTACCATAGGAATCTACTTTGAGCAATGTTCCATACAGCGAATCGAACCACAAACCTCTGAGAATATAAGATGGAAACAGAAAATGATAAGAACATGAATATTATAAATAAACGAATTATATGATGTCAAGTTTGTATTGTACATGTTGAACGCATTTTTTTTAATTACCTGACTGGAAAGGTGGGGTCATATTCAAACTGAAGTATTTGAGTGGGATAACCAAGCGAGACTAATCTTTCTACGGCCAACGCGAATCCCAGTCTCTCGTAAGCCGGTGATTTATACTCTAAAGTTGAAAAATATTGCATGTAAAATCAATAAAATAAACCAACCCCAATTAACCAAATAAGTTAGTCAACAGGAATAAAACCTAATGGAGAAATTAATGATTAAATAGATTATCTAAAATTTTTGTGTAGATTGAAATCCAAACACTCGTAGAATGAATTTCACTAATCAGTTCAAGATTTTTGTTAATCAACATTTGTTCAAATATAAGTTTTATTTATTTAAGGATTTAACAAAAAACAACGTACAATACATTATGACGATATACGATATGACGTATCGTGTATTTATTAAAATTGAATTTCTCTGCTTTAACATGCACTGCGGTCGCAATATGGGTGATATTTTAGGCAACATTATTATTCTCCTGATTAATATCCGCTATTTCATGGAAAAGATACTTTAATAATAAATAATGAGCAAAAAATGATAAAAAAAATTTGAAGGTGGTGATGCTTAAGTGATTTTTAAAGTGCGATGACCATAACATCGGGGCCACTAGAGCCCAGATAAAATATAACGTCACAAATGTAAATGAATACAGTTCATTTAATCGCGTAAAAACAATGAAAATACCTAAAACACATATCAGGTATTATTTACGTAGACGGAAGCAGTAGATGATGAAATAATAAAAACAAAACGCATCATGTTCTCTTTGAAATGCCCATTTGAAAAAATTACATAATACATTAAGACTAATTGTTCAACAATAACATTATCATTATGTTTGTTTACATAAACAAGAGCAGTAACCTTTTTTTAACCCAAATGATAACATGGAAATTAATTATGCTTGTGAACGACCACTACAACTAAAATACATTACAAAAATAATATAAATAAATTACTAACTAATATTAAACGTATTAAACACTTTACCAAATAACAATATGCTAATAAGTGTCAATGGAATAAATTGCACAAATAATTACCGGCAAGCGTATAGTCCATGTCGAAGCCATAGAACTTTATGTTTTCCAAGTGTAAACTTCTGTTAACGAAAATTCTGAAAAGAATAAAAACAACTATTTATTAATGTGGATGTACTTAAACTAGAAACACGACATTCAATCATGTACGATATTCATTAAAAAGCAAAAATAATTCTAATCATTTCAACGCACTGACAAAACGTACTTATTAACAGAGACAAGAGATTTATGTAAACGCATACTAATTACATCAATGCCATTGAAAAATAATTTACACGTCAAGACTACATTGTGTCTCGAAAATACTAGTTGATGTTCACTAAACATCAACAAAATCACAAAAACAACGGTCTTATTTCTATTGGCAGTACCGGCACTGCAGTCTGGAAAGTAGATGACGTTACATTAAAAAAAAAGGTTCTATAGTTAATAAACAAAAAAAACTTCACTACTGTCGCTAAAGGATTTGCGTGTCGTCTTTAAAGTTACCTCACGCCATGGGCGCCAAATTTTTCCCGACATAATTCACAAACAGTCAAGTACAACGCTTTTAACGTTACAGAAATGCAGTCGGGCTACATCAGTTTTTGTGAAATAAATATTGCAATCGCCGTTGTTTAAATACTCCATTGATGACTACTTTTTTAAGTGTGATTTTCTTCAGAGAGATATCTTAACTACGTGACGTTGTTTCTACATTAAAATACTTATGATTTAACACACGACTGACAGATATTGCAAGTACTCACTGCAATATCGTTAGTCAATCAAAAAAGAGTTTAACTTCTCTTCGTCATTGCTGTTTTCCAGACACGTCTCACGAATGTAAAATAATAATTTCATAAATTAATTATCGTTCTATTAACTTTTAATTACTAGAAATTATCAATTTAATTTTCAATCAAATTACATCGTGTATATCATTTTTTTCATGTTAGTTTAAATCACATTAATTATTTTCTTCTTCCATTTAGGTATACGACAACATATTGTACATATATAGTACAGTCTAGGGTTGTTAATAGGCCAGAAAAAACGAGTACATCAAGATTTCAACGTTTTTTCCAACCGTATGAAGATACCAGTGACTAGATTATCACTTGACATGTAAATTCGTTTTTTTTTCATTATTCAACCGGCAAAACTAGGCCAAGTATTTTGCAGGGTAGTTTTATCTAACAATAAAATTCTGAAGACTGCACCAAAGTACTTATTATTTTGTTAAAATAGTAAATACCATCGTGCAAAATAATATCGTTCCTAATTTAAATAAAAACGGGTAACGTTATGAAAATATTTATCAAAAGGAATATATTCTTTTTGAATTCTGATTTACCGCATAAGATTTGCTAATAAATGAAAATCAAAACATACAATTACAAAACAACAGCAAGTAAAAAACCTCGAACATGAACTTGATTTTTTAAAACCTGTATAACCACCATCAATGAATATCCATATGCCAGTGACTAATATTGCACTATTTGTAACGTTATTATCCAATACATTACGAACATAATGCACAAGTAGCAGTCGCATACAGGAAATGGTACTCGCTCTGCAACACGGCATGTATAATTAATCATTTATTAATGCAAACCTTATGGTATCAAACAGAAAGTGCATAATCGTTACAACATCTTCATAATTAATTAAGGAACCGCACGACACGTGTCTAAATTAATTTAAACCTGTACAAGAATGTAGTTTGGACAGAGTTAACGCATAATTTCAGTAATATACTCGATTAATACAATACACACACAATTATTGCAAATAAATATTTTAATTTGAAATGTATTTTAAACAAAGACTACTTAATGGCTAAGGAAAAATGTAAACGTTTAATCATGTGATAGTTATTGAATTAATCCAACAGTATTACTTCAATTTTAGAAATATCAAAATTAACTAATACTAACACAAAAGTATCTTTAGGGTTAGTCAAATGTGTTAAAAATCTACAGCGTTTTTGAAATACTTAATGGAATTGAATAAAAACTTTTTATAATGCCAGCAACTTTAAAAACGTAAAAAAAATAGTAATAATCATAATACGTGCAATAAACATTGCTGACACTTTTTTTCTTTTAGAAGACTTGTACTCGAGTTGACATAATATTTTAATCTACTATATAGGTCAACGAAACCAGAAATGACACAAAATTGCATAAATGAAATTTGACGGCGAATAAAAATAAAACCATTGCGTTATCCAAACAACGTACAAAAATATAAATTAATAATGACTACTCCAACACTATCATTGAGCAATATAATTTATCCGCCAAACGTCGTGGCTACATAATTGCATACTGGTTATTCAAAAAATATGTCAACATTTTAAAATTGCTTTTCACGTGTAACTTGGTGAAGTTAAACATATAGTAATTATATCATCAATAATTGATGGGATAACTTCTGAATATTTAATAAATAAATTTATTTATCGACATTCAATAATTATTGAGTAGAAAAAGTATCAATTGATAAACAAAATCTAAAACCTTTATGAATTTAACGATATTAGTAAAAAAAACAACATCTGTTCGTTGTGATAAATGTTGAGTACGATATTGCTTATACAATAGGTTAATATATGCTAAGTCATTATCATTGCCTCGATGAATTTCGTATAACTGCGAAAGATGATCTAATTAATGTTACAGCATTGCACTGGTTGTATTTTGCACGCGAAAACTGTTCGTATACACGTGTTCCGACTTTTAGTAGAATAGTTCACAGATAATATAAATTATCTTTATTTAATATAATTAAAAGAACGAGCATTCTAATAATGATTAAGACTTACCTTTTTAAATGTTAAGAACGAGCGCATACTTCATGGTAACTTTTAACCGATAAAAAAAAAATTATCGGTAAAAACTATTTTAAGCGACATGCAAATTGGTTTCCAAAAATGTGCAGACATCAATATCAACACGGCAAAATCTAACGGCGATAACCCAAAAACGTAGAAATGACCTGAGGAGTCTTTACGACAGACAAAAATAGTTTTAGATAAAATATTGAAACAAATTATGTAAATTAGGTATTCGCATTATTTCGTTATCTAATCGCTACAAGTTCAAGGACTCAGACGGGTCAATTGTGAATATGATATATTTTGGCTTTATTTCGCTAGCCGCCATTAGTTACCGAGTTCATTAATACATTTTTAACTATTTACAAAACCTACTTGAAAAGATATCTATTTGAATAAAATTTATCATAGCAATTAAATCACTTAAAAAGATAAATTTCAATTTTTGGATAGAGAAAACTATTTAATTATTAATAAAATTTATAATAATACATAGTTCTAAAAAAGAACAAAAAGATATTCAAAAATTAGTTAACACTTAAAGCAAAAAAATTATTTAAAAACACGTGTTTGCATAATCATGAAAAAAAAAAAAGTATTCCGCATAAGTTTTACTTTGTTTCAAACTTTAATATTTGACACAATATTCATAACCTGGGTACTAAAAAAAAAATCAATTTTTTTTCGCTTAAGAATCTGATCTTAAGTAAATTAAATGATTGAACTCGCGGTTAATTTGGCTAGCCTGTTTGGGATAAGTAATACTTTACAAACTTTACATAACACTTTATTTTACTAGTAAAGAAAACTTGGAAGTTTAAAAAATTAAAAAAGAAGTATATTTTATTTTACCTGTGCGCATTTTCTCTAGCGTTACTGCTGTGCTCTTCAGTGTTAAAAAAACACATGAGCTCGCAGTCTGACAGATGACATTTGGTCGAATTAGTTCGAAAGGAGGCAGTTCGAGTTTCGCCCTCCCGCGAAATTTCCGTCTTAAGTGACATGTTCGTTTGATGATAGTGCACCAGAATAAAAAACAACAAATAAACGACTTTGCCTATGGACTCATCAACGAACCACCAGGCCCCAATACGGTGTGTACAACAATAATGATAACAATTATAATGTACGTACACTATAAACGGGATCGGATCGCCCTATTATATTTCTACGACCGGAGGTGCAAAGTCAACACTAATAACTAGAGCACAAGTAGCACTAATAATACTGATTAGTAGCGCGTCAACAGCGACCGACGGTCTGGAAGTGACAACCGGTTTGGCGAACACCGCGGTTTGTTTGTTGTGTTTAATTCTTGACATTGTTGAAATTCGGCAATAAAACGCGAATCACAGTGACACAAATGTTTTCATAATTAATCAAAATGCGAGCAATACTGGCCGATAGCGTGAGATTATTCAATGAAAACATCGCGACGAGCGCACCGCTGGATTAACACAACAGCAGCAGCAGCCAACGCAACGCTGTTCGATAATATACCAGTTCGGGTTCCGTTTGAAGTGCACCGGTTGAAGTTTGATCCGTCGATTTATTTATGCGCGCGTTTAGATCACCGAAAAGATGAACACAAAACCGATCGATAACTTGCAATGAATCGTAATAACAGTGCTCAGGCCGATTTATACTACCAAATAGAATGAATGTATGCGTACGACACGGATCCATTTGGCGAATTCGTGACTTATTTGCGGTGCTCATTCCGCAGGGGAAGGTGGAATCGGGCGAATCAAAGGCGGAGATCCTATTTTGGGCACACGGTTGTGTATCCTTTTTGGGATATTGCTGAACCGATTGTTTCGATACGGTTTTCTAACGAACAATTTATAATTGTATGTACGTGCGAGTACAGCGCTGGAGATACTTGATTAATAATTAATTTTCGCATCATAATTATCGATTTTCAATAGACATTGCAAACCATTAGAATACTAATCACGCAACACCAATATAAATATACAAAATTATTGACAGTAATTTCATGCACAACCAATAAGACTATTGAATTTAAAGGATTGCGTATTTTTATTTAACTATCTGTTGTTCTCGTAAGCATGCCCACATTTAGTTACTAATCCGTAGAGACTTTAATTTTTGATTTCACATATCTGTATTCAACTAATTAGACCGCAAGATATAAACAAACGGTAATTAACGGTCTTTTACAATTTAGTGAAAGTTACGCCACATAAATGTCACAGACATTAGAGTATTTACTTATCAATGTATTGATTTTAATAATTTTTATTTTAAAACTGATTAGTATCAGTAAAATGTGATATGGCATAGTTTACTTTTCTGTTAGTGATATAGAGAACTTTCCAGAATTCTGTTTTCAATGAATTAGGGGCCGGATTAAAAGAATGTTTTCATTTAACGTTTAAATATATTATAAAGTTTTCTTATAATTGAATTTTTCGTTACTACATTTTTACATTTAACGTCAAAAGAGTTCAAAACATAATTCACTATCGTAAGCAGTTTTTAATTTGGAAAAATGACTACTTTTCTTCTTACGTAAATTTTTTTTAAATATAACCTTTGAATATAATTTATTATAATTTTTTTAATGATAATAGCTTTATGATATAAGTTGTATTATGTTTAACGATATTTTAAGTTTATTGATAACATATTTTTTATTAAGTTTTGACAAAATTGTACGTTATAAACGCAATAATTATGACGATATTTAAAAGGTTTTTTTATCCTGTAAAAATATTTCCTAACTAAACTCAAAATATAATATTTAATTCAATTTTCGAAGCAAAATTTTTTAGTATCTATTGTATTCTGATTCCAACTTGATTCAAAAAGTATGTATTCACAACACTACATTTTTTTTTGCGATTAAAAATTAAAATTTAAGCCCCAAAATTATAGCTTAAGAATTTATTTATTTACTTCTGTGATATTTCGTGTTAAATAAAAAAATATTCATAAATATTATTAATTTTTTAATTTTAGTTTAAAACCTCTTTATAATTAGATACTATAACGGTTTTCTAGAAATATTAAAACACAAGTTTTGATAGGAATTTATTTTCAAGCTTTTTGAAAATATATCATACAGAGGTTAACAGGTCTAATAATAATTTATAATTGGTAATTCTACTGAACACATTAAATAAAATTTTTATTTAGGATAATCATAAATACTACAATGTGTGTTTATCGAACAAATTATTATTTAAACATTAACACTAGTAGTGAAGTTAAGATTAAAGTATTAGGCACCTACTTAATTTCAGTTAAAATTGTTAATATCAAACGTTATCTGTTACACTCAATTGTTAAACTCCGACAAATGAGTACACAACAAACCAATTATAGTACAATTTAAATATTGAATTATCAAGTATGATGATCAAAGGCTGTGGAAGACAAATATTTGATAGTATTTAAGATAATAATGACAATTTAAACAAAATTAAGGAATCAATATTTTTTTACCACAATAATTCAAACAAAGAATGACCAATATCAACTATCATTAATATAAAAATCTAATAACGGCTTAAGAAATGACGAATACCTCAGATAAACAAAGATAAATTATATTAAAATATTTTTTTAATTCAATTACTACAAGATATATAATGCATTAAGAAGTTATTTTTTTTCAGTATTTATGGCAGGGGTGTTATTTTATTCTTTTAAGGCAAGCAAACTTTTAAACGAAACTACACATTTTCTAAATAATTAAAAACAAATTATAAATATATATATATATATACATTATCTAAAGCCACCCGATATTACAGCTAGTTAACATAAGTATACTGCGTCAAATATTTTTATCGTATTTTCAGTCGATAATTTCACTTAATTCGTTTGATTATAACTATAATGAGCTTTAAAATAATATTAAGCAACACTTTACAGAACAAATGAACAAATGAACATATAAAGATTGTGCCCACTTAGTAAAAAATTACTCCCCTAGTATTTTTTAACATGGTCGTATAACAAAAAATGTATATAATTTAACAGGACTGATAAAAAATTAAATTTATAAAAGGTTATTTATCAAGTATATTTATAATAATTGACTTAAATACCAGACTACGTAATTTTCTGTTAAAAACTACTTCAAGTTAATAGTGAGTTGTTTACTTAATTTTAGGTAAACAAATTACAAATGATTGCCATCAATCAATAAAAAATTGTTTAACTTCTATAATACCATGTAAAATATATACATTTTATTGAATTAATAAATTTATTATTAAGTTAAAATGTATAAAATTTGTATTGTAATAATAAAACATATTCCTGAAATATTTTAATAATAATCTATCTTGAACAAAATTCAACGTTATTTTTGGCTCAATGCAAGTATAATTATTGCACTACTCGTGGTCTGGATTTATTTCCAGTTGAGTAAAATAATTTCATATCAAATTTTAAACTATATAAGGTCTTTTATTAGTATTTTTTTTTAATTACACATTAATATTCATACTAATGTCACGAACATGCTTAAGAATCTAGCACGTTCCGAAAATAAAAATGGTAAATCACATAGTGAATACTGATTATTTATACATATAATAGTTCTACATTCTACATTTTACTCGATAAATAATTTTTACTTCGCTTAACTAATTAAAGCATACTTTTCACAATAATCAACTCGTTATCTTTTTTATGGTAAATAACTCGTCGGAGTAGACTAATTACGGATAAATTCGTACAAAATTTGATTGACTTATCTTTTGTGACAAAAATAATTTTTAAGAAATTTAAAATTATCTGTATGGTTTTAAAATAACTGAACTAACATGTATACCACACATATAAATTATAATAATTTATAATCAAATTTATTACTGTAATGAAAATAAAAATAATCCGAGTTTAATTGATAAAATTTATCATTCTAATCAATTCAATTATAGTTTTAATCTAAAATAACAATTAATCATGACATTACTGATTAAAAAATTGAATAATAGTTACATATTTTTTTAATGACTCAATAATTTTATTTTTAAACTTAAAAATGATTACTTCTTTAACAAGAATTGTATTGAAGATATCTTAAAATAGTATAACCCTGAACATTTTTTGTGATTTATAAAAAGAACACGTCTTTTAGTGAGCCAAAATGCCAGTCAGCTTTACTTATACCACGTGCTCGTAAATTATGAAAATTTAATAAAAATTCATATCATATTATTTGTCATAAAGCAAATAATTTGGTGCGCCCTTATCTATATAATTTTCCAAAATAAATAAGGACTATGATATTTTAATAATATTGAATTTATTTATTAAAATTTTATGGCACAAATAGAAGTTACTATAATTTTTAAAGAGGACTTATATTTTTTGATAAAATTAGTATTATTTTGTAAAGTGTTGTAAATCTCTCATATCATCTTTGTACTTGTTTTATTTTAAAAAAAGCTAAACAAATATAAATTAAAAGAATTATTATTATTATTATTTTTTAATTTTAGGTTTTAAGAAAAAAATTAACAGTTTTCAATTGTAACATAAAGTTAATAACATGGAAGCACTAGATCTCTCAGCTCTTTTACATGCACTATTATAAACAGGTTAACGTTTACAATCAATTGTTTTATTTATGAATTTATTAATATTTAAATAGCCTCAAATCTGAACAAAAATCATAACACTACTTTCTTTGCATTTGAAATTTTAAAGATATCTGAAGATAAATCAATTCAATTTTAAAATTGAATATAATTTATATAAAATACAGGTTTCCATTTATTTAAACAAAACACCGATAAAAATAATAGTAATTATTTATATAAAATTAATATTTTATGAAATATTAATTGATATTTTTCATTAAACAAAATGTTATAATTAGCATTATGATAAAATTTCTTGTCTGAATATTTAACAAGAAAATAACTAAAATTTAATATCATCAAAATTTCTTTAACTAGAAAATTAAACAAATTCTAATACAAATCAATATTTATACAATTGTTTGAATAACACAAATAAAAACATAAGTAAAGACTTAAAACTATTTTTCAAAATTTATCTACTGATAGTAAAACTAATGATAAGATAGTAAATTTACTGATGTCTAAATATTGTACAACTAAGAAAATATCACTCAAAATACGTTTTTTAAAGGAAATTCTTGATATTACTTCTTTATGGTTCATGTCAAAATTAAATACAAGAAATAAAATAATTCACCAATTAAATATAAAAGATTTTTAAGAGTTATATTACAAACAAAATATTATATCCAATATTAATAACATACCTATGTGCCGTTTTCCGATAATATTTTTTAGATGAACCACTAACAATACCAAGTGGACTGATTGCCGAAGTGGCGGATAACTCAACAGGATTTACATATTCTGACATATTACCAACTACACAAGGTTTTTATTGTTTTACTTATAAATGACAACTAAGATAATAATAAGTAATGTATTTTAAAAACCAGTAATATACTAACAGCAGAGTACGTGGTGTTCTAAAAGACGAGTTTCTCTTGACCAGGAACTACTAGCACTGAAATTTTTATTAAAATTTTACAGTAATTATAAAATATAATCTTTAAAATAATAATTTTGTGCAAAAAGGAATCCGTTTAACTAACACTGAATTGGTTAAAGCACCGCTCAGATAAGAATTTGAATAATATTTTATAATAAACACAGATGTTACTCTAATATAAAATAAATTACAGACGTTGCGTTAAAATAATTGTCTGAGAGTAACTTATTATTTATCAATTACTAATACGTACATGTGATAACGGTGACGGAGAGATAAAAAATGATTACGACTAATAAGTATTGTCATATGGGCGTGGACGATTGCACCGCCAAAAGAAAAAATACAGGCGTCACTAATATTCACGACCTCAGTTATTCTATATTTTTTTATTAGTTAAATTTAACACTCTCAAATGCTTCACGATATGATCTAACGTATTATGACACATCTACATTCCAGTTATTAGCGTTATTAAAGATCACTAATATTTTCTTTTAGTTTTCAACACAATGAACTGTCATTGATTAACCATAAAAAAATGAATACTTTTCAAATTGACAATTGATGACTTACCTTAGGCTTAAAGATTAAGACTTCCAATTGATAGCCAATGTACCTAAAAATAATTATTAATAACTTATCTTAAGCACCTTGTTGATCAATTATTATCAGTAAAACAAAATACTTAGAACACTTTTTATTTTTAAATAAATGAACAAAATCTATTCAAAATCTTCATAATTTTTTCTTTTCTATACAAAAAATTTAACTCATCAAGAATTTTTCTTTAAGATTCTCTACAATTTTTTGTAATTCCAGGAAAGTAGTGGTCGAAGTTGATCAGAATAAATGGGAGGAATGCCCTTCATTTTTGTTTTCCACATTATTCTTTTTGGTTAACAAACTAACTACATGTTAAATAATATACAATAATGTTGGTCCATTTTTAATTAATCTTAATGTAAAAAAATACTATGGATATTTATAATAAATTATTAAATTTACTACAGTATTGAATCCAGGTACATTTCAGGGAGACAGGAAAATCCCGATAATCTTAGGGTGACAATAATATAATATCGAATATCGCTATTTCGAAAATTGACTCCATGTTTCTTTTTTTATTTATTTATGAACCAATTTCTTTGCTTATCTAATTTTTTTTTACTAGCATTAATGCTAAAAGCACCTCCTAAAAAAAATACCATATTAAACACTGACCTACTATAATATTGTCTAATCATTTCATAGGGTGATTAAGGGAGTATATCTCTCTTAATACGAAAGGTATTTCTTCACTACTATATAATCCTACAATAAAGTTGCAACACTCCAAATTGGCTCAAATAAAATATATTTATTTATAAATATATTTATATATAAATATATTATATATACATATAATTCCAAGCCCTAATTATTAAAAAAAACGCTTAGCTTATTAATTAGATAATGATCTAATAAATCTATATATCAATAGAAATTTCTCAGCCTTGATTCTTTTATCGTCTAGGTAAAAAATGTTAATAACTATCGAAATACTGGTCCAAAATTTATAACGACCAGTCATTTTCTTAATTAGCTCTATTAAATAAGCTAGTTTATTATGTATGTCTTCATTTAAAAAATAATTTATGACTGATATATTGAATAACATATGTAACTAAATAAGAACAATAAAAATATTATTAAAATTAAAATTGTAATTCAATAATAATAATTTTATTATAATCTAACGGAGAAGTTCATAATTTTCAATTATGTAAATTTAAGAGTTCTGAATATCAATGTATACATTTTCAGACCAAATAAACAGGCACAACCAGAAAAAAATATATGAATAATTTTCGTTAAAATAATTCCACCCTCCTATGTTTTTATACATATTTTTCGTATAATAATTTATATAATTTTTTTTGGAAGACATTTTTAGTTGTATTTACGCATATTATGAATAATAGATTTTAGTTATTTTTAAAGAAATAATGCTTTTAATTCAAATTACCAGGACTGGTCCCAAGCATGTAAGCAAATATTTATTTGGGGGACTAAAAGAAAATTTTAGGGGTGAATATCAAATGAAAATGTTTATGAGTGGTTGAAAAACCTTATAGCTTGAAACTTTTTGTTAGCTACCTCAGAGTTATTTTTATTCATATTTACTTGATCAGGGTATAATGAGAACTACACAAATGACTTTGTTCTAGTTAAACATATTTTAAATATTAAAATGATTAAGAATAATATTCCGTTGAATTCAAAATGTTGGTATTTTTATAAAAAATGTACAAAAATGTTAAAAAGAGGGTATATTAATTAACTCCTTCTTACTGAAATATCCTTTTTAAATATATCCCCGGTCTATGCCTCTAATCATCTTTTGTTTATCGTTTCTGAACAGTAGCGTAATTCGGGACGATCTTGACCCTATATTTACAAAATATAATTATTATTATTCAGTACTAAATAAAAAAAGGTCTATAATTTATGCATATTGAAATAAATATTAAATTATAAGATACTCCCTCTACGCAAATTTTCTGAGATCATTTGATACACACATTAAAAAAAAATCAGTCTTGGACAAATTACTTTGAAAAAGTAATAAAGTTACAATTACTCGATATATTTATAATAATTCATAAAATTACTCTAATTTTCCTAAAAATAAAAGTATTGAGTACTCCTCAAATACTTTTTATGTATATTGTGGTTAAACAAAGAACTATTTATACATGTATACAAGGTAATTCGTGGTGAATTTATCTATTATAAAAGAAATTATAGGTCCACTTCTTATACTTTGTTTTTAAATGTAACATATATTTCATTATTTTAAATAATACAAATTTTATCTTATTAAGATTATGACGGGTCGATAATAACTTTTGAACAAGTGTTGTAGAAATTATTAAAAATATAAAGGAGAAATTGTTACGCGGGTGCTGCTATTTTTAAAACTAGATATTTGTCAGCTATATTCCTCACGCCTAAGTATAGAAATGTCAAATATGATTAAAATAATAAAGTGAGTTATTATTTTTTGATAAATATGATTTTTTAGTAACTTTAAATTATTTTATAAAAGTAATTAAATTACTTATTAGTTACTTGAAAATAATAGTAATTTAAAAACAGTATATTAACGACGTTCAGTAATGAGTAATTAAGTTACTCTACTTCCTAAGACTGTTAAAAACTTTATAAATGGAATTTTATCTCAATTTTTATTTATTATATAGGAAGGTAGGTATATATTATTCATGGGAGGTTTCGATTCTATAATCCTCATCCAATTATTTTTACTATAATTTGATTTTAAATGAAAACAATTTAAAATGAGGAGAGTGAATCTTCAAAACCCACCCCTACCTGCGTCCCTAATTTCTATAAGAAATTAAAATTAATGTAATCACAAATAAAAATTGTCTGCCGTTGATATAAATTATGATACTATACAGTGAGCCACCGATATTAGTAAGGGAATTTTATTGAACTAATCCATAGTAGACTGTTATTTTCTAGATAACTATGAGCCAATCAGAAATATGAATTTCCGTTTGTTTACAATTATCTGCCGGATCGCATGCAGCGTGATATCCAAGAAATTATAACACGTTATTAAATAAAAATTGTAATTTCTAAATTTTTTAAAAATGTCTGGAGAATTTTATTTACGATACTACATTGGACATAAAGGTTGGTTATCTTCTTATTATTTGTAAGTAGTTTCGAAAAAATGATTTTAAAATTAACTAAATTATAAAATGTTGTTGAGAAGCTAGAGAAGTGTAATTGTTTCTCTATCAACCGATCAAATAATTTGTCATTGATTCATATATAAGTTAACAAAATATTTATTCTCTAATTTTAATAATATATTAAGGCAGATTAGATTATTAAATCTTATTTATTAAAATAAATCAAATTAAGCTTTTGTTAGTAATACAAAGTGTATTTATTGTATTAAGAAAATCTTATTTTGTAAAAATCAGAATTCCTCAAATTATAATTTATATATGTGATATAAATATTTAATAATATTATTTATGTTTTCTACATAAATATTAATAAAGTTATTTATATTTTTTAATTATTTTAGGGAAATTTGGTCATGAATTTTTAGAATTTGAATTTCGACCTGATGGAAAGCTTCGTTATGCAAATAATTCTAACTATAAAAATGACACCATGATCCGTAAAGAAGTTTATGTTCATCAACCTGTTATTGAAGAACTCAAACGTATTGTATCAGACTCAGAAATAATGCATGAAGATGATGCTCTTTGGCCACCACCAGATCGAGTAGGAAGACAAGAATTAGAGATTGTGATAGATGATGAACATATATCTTTCACTACGTCTAAAACTGGATCTTTGTTAGATGTTAACACATCTAAAGATCCAGAAGGACTAAGAACTTTTTATTATCTTGTTCAAGATCTTAAATGTTTTGTTTTTTCCTTAATATCATTACATTTTAAAATCAAACCAATTTCATAATGATATTTATTACAATTTGTATATTTTATGTAAATAAGTGTCAACTTTGGTTTAGAAAATAATAACATTTTTTTTTAATATCCAAGAAATAATTTTACATCATTAATAGAAATCAATTTCAGATAGTATAAAATTTTTGTAATAAATTTGACTTAAATATAAAATTTAACAAATAAAACATCAATGTTCTTTATACAATAATATTTATAAATTATATAATCTTATTTTTGAAGATTAATATTTTCCTCAATTTATCAATCATAAAATATTTTTTATATTCATCCTTTTTAACTTATGTCAACTTTAATTTTTTTAAATTGGAGCTTAAATAATAAACTAGCTTATTTATTAGATCTAAATAAGAAAATGACTGGTTGATAACAATTAATAGACCAGTATTTCGGAAGTTATTCACATATTTATATCTAGATGAAAGGAAGAGTATGGTCAGAAAATGTATAGTTATAAAAATAGAAATTATAAATTTAGTTTTAAAATTTAAAACCCACTCTTCACCTCCAATCGTTACTTAAAATTATTAATAACTTCTGAAAATTGGTCCAAAAATTGTTATTGATCCAGTTATTTTCTTAATTAGACCATTATCTATTAAATAAAATATTCAATCAGGGATGTTGCCATTTTTGAAATTAAAGTTTATACCCTTATAAGGGATGAATGTAGAAAATCTTTTATTATTACATTGATACATTGAGAAAATTATTTAATTTATAGAAACTGATAAATAAACTATTATTTTTTGATTAAATTAAATGGTTCATGATAAATAAATTACTCATTATTTGATAAACCCATTGACATTTTATGTCAGTGGTTTAAAAAAAAAAAAATTTTTAGAAAAGATAACATCTTTTCTAGTGACTATTTTTAACCAGCATTTTAAGTTTAAAAATGTCAATCAAAAAATGATCACCAAAAAATTGGTGAATGATAATAGTAACCTGTATTGAAAAATCCTGTTACATCAGATGTATCATGTTAAAACTATTCAATAGTTTTTTATATCCCAAAATTAAATTACTGTACAAAAATTGATTTATAAAAGTTTTTCTTAAAAATGACTATATATAATACTTGTTAGTTAACTGATCAATATTAATATATCTAATAATTAAATTTTAGGATACTATGACACAATTTGTGGGAGGGCTAAACTTTCTCGTGCATAAGATCATTATCTCAAAGTGAATATAAGATAAAATTTGATTGATTAAAATATTTAATTAGACCATTAGTTATACCAAATGATGATATATTAAAGTTTTTGGAATTTAATGCTACACTTACTCAATTATTACTATAAATATCCAATGAAGTATCATAACAAATAATTTACAATGTCTTTGAGACACACATTAAGACCAAATTACAGTGTTGAGATTTCGTTAGAGGAAAGCATACAATAACTTTCAATATTTATAATTATATGACCTTTTTATGAACTATTATTTATAATGTCTAAGTCTAATTCAACACTACTATATATTAAAATATCATTTTAAATGCGGTACTCTTATTTATGTAAAGACATTCTGTCATCAGTCACATAACATAACATTGACGCAGTACAATAGCGTCTTGTTTTAGGTCACCATTTAGAAACAATTTTATACTAAATATGTAAATATATTATAATGTTCACTCAAAATATATATTTCGAACAAATTAATTCAGAACATGTTAAAGTTAATAATATCATTTGTTAAATCTGTATGATCACCTATGAAAATTTTATTTTTAGAAAAATCTTTTTTTAGATAAAGAAGTCTGTTCATATATAACTGAATCTATTGAATATATTTGTTACTTTCATTTATGAAATCAGTTAGAGTATATGACTTTAATAATATCATACAAATACATTATATTACAGTATTTAATCTTAGTCTAAGTTCATCAGAAAAGGACAGAAACACAATCATTATACAGTAATTATTCGTTATTGGGATTGCATTTTTTCATTCAAATTATAGTTGCTTAATTAAGCGCTTATAACTGAAGTGAAAAATATAACAACAATGTCGTCATATCGTTGTTTTCATTATTTATAAAATCTTGTTTATTAACTGTAATAATAAATTGTTCTATTTTCTTAGGACTAAGTACAAATAACAATATTTTTTAAAGCCAATACATACGAAATATGGCTCTATAGATCTTTTTTTTTTTTTGGTAATCCCTTTGCTTTTTAGCAAAATAATTTTCTCTAGCATGTTACCGTAGTAAAAGAAATTACCCATTCTAAAATGAATTCTGAATACACCTCTGTTTCAGATATGAGTAATACTATACAGTTTTAAAGGCTTTTTGTTGTGATCCTGACAAATGACGGAATCTATGAAAAATCTTATTTTTTAGCGCATGAACAAGCGATGGGAAAAAAACTAGCAACAGTGCCGCCAAGTAGGAAAGGGAAAGGCCACAAACCGGGAGGCACTGAGGGCCTCTATTTAATCAAATTCAATGTTGTGCTTTTATAATATGAGATAGCTAGATAAATAGATTATTATTTCTAAAAATGTCTAAAGAAATGGTAGAATGTACTTCAGGTTCTTCTCCAGCCACTACTGCAGAATCTGAAGAAGACGATTTGGACTCTATGCCATCCGTTGATCCTGAAACATTTAAATGGAGTACAAGTCAAGAATTAAGTTTATTACTCAATATGATACAATTAAAACCAGCTGGTAAGATTTTGCATTAAAAATCAAGTCGTTAGTAATTTTTAAAGTAAATATAAAAATAAAAATAATTTATCTTTTATGTTTCTTCAGTTGAACTTAAAATATATTATAAGCTACAAAATAAATGTTTTTACAGTTATTTTTTAATAGAATACTGGAATTTGATTTAATTAAATCAAGACAATTTGCTTTGATAGTTTCTGTTCTAAGATAAGATTCACTTTTTTCCTTTCTTTTTAAAAAGATTTTACAAGTAGATCAAATTAGAAATGTTAAATATGTATAGTTAAAGTGTAGCTGGGAATAATGATAAAATATAGGATACAAAAAGGGGGTTATCAAACAAAGGTAATAACGGAGTTATTTTCAAAAAAAAAAAATATTAAAAAATACCTCTTATACTAAAATAAATAATGTTGTCTCAAAAATATTTTCTTCTGTATCCACACCAGATCAAATGCAATTATCTAATTGAAATTATTATTTTAGTATTAATATTAATTAAAAGGTTTATTATTACTGAAACAATTTGTTTTGTTAATTAAAAAATAAAAGTTTTGTTAATTATTAAATTATGTTTAGGAATTAATAAACATTTGAGCATGTGTTTGATCCGAGAGAAATTAAGTAAGGAATTAAAATTAAATATACCATCCCAATGTATTTGGAAATACTTATGGTCACGATGGAATATGGATGCAGCTGTAATTAAAAGTCCTAAAAAGTACAAAATATTTGATTTTTATTTATTTAACTATTTTAGGATGATATAGAGAAAACAAATTTTTCAACTGCACTTGAAGATTTTGATTTACCCGAAGATGAATACAGCCAGCTTTTAGTTGAAGAAGGAGAAAAGTTAAGAAAACAAATTGACGAAGAAGAAAGTATGTAAATTTACAATTTAAATTGATAAAAAAAATGAGTTAATTTTTTTTGTTTAAAGGTTTGATAACCAAACAAGAATTAGCCTCTATAGCTAATAAAAAAGAAGAAATAAAAAAAAAGAAAATTTTACGAGGATCTGGGAAAACTAGATCTAAATCAGATTCTATTTCTTCTGTTGATTCTAAAGATGGTATAGTAGAAAATAATACTGGCACACTTGATACTTTAATAGTGAAATCTGAAGATCTTGAATTTGAAGAAATCACTACAAGTACAAGAAGATCTTTACGTACTAATGAAAAACCAGAAGAAAAAGAAAAACAAGAGAAAGAAGAACCTGATGAACAGGATGCATCTAATAAAAAACGTTTATTACGTGTAAGCACTAAGGTGGAAATACCTAAAACTAAAGAGCCAAAAATTTTATGTAAAAGACCAATAAATCCTTCTAAAGAAGTAGATCTTGAAGAAACACTTCCAAGTAATAGGGGAAGAAAAAGAAAAAATCGTAATGTATCAGAATCGAGCATTAGTTCAGATAATAGTAAACATCCTAAAATAAATAAAAATAATTCTTATGATGTTAATGCCTCTGATAGCTCATCTAGATCAGTAACTCCAGAAAACTTAAAAAGCAAAATGTCAACCAGATCAATAACACCAGATACATCTAATAGAAAATCAAATCTCAGATCAAGTGATAGAGACTTCAAATCTAAAATTACTCTAGATAAGTCTACTTCAAAAAATCATAATGTTGATCATTTACAAGAACTAAAAACTGAAAACATTAAAATAGAGCGTGGAGAAAAACAATCAAATGTAGACTCAAAACCTAAACGTTCAATTCATAAACATTCAGAGGTTAATAAAGTAAAAGCAAAATCAAAACCAAGATTAAGTTCTGATGCAATAGTTGCACAGCAAGCTGAAGTTCAAACATCTTTAGGTCGACGTTCTTGTATAAACAAGAACTAGCATATTTTTTAATTATTGTAATTAAAAAGTAAAAGTATAATCGGTAACACAGTTATTAATCTTCTATTATTATGGTTAATATCATACATTTTACAATATGATAAAATATTTTTAAAATTTATTGAAAATTTTCAACAAATAACTTACTTCTTATAAATTGTAAATATTCTTACATTGATATTTAAAGTACTCTAATTGAGTGGGTTTAAACATAATTCACGTGACAAATTTTAAAGTTATATACATATATATATATATAAATAAATTATATTATATAACAATATCAACTCATTTTCTAAAACATTAATTATTATTACTTTAAGTTTTATTAATAAATTCTAATAAAAACATTTTTATTCAATTTTTTATTGTTTTAAAATTTAAAAAAATAACCATTTATATAGCAAAGCTTTAAATAAAGACGATAATTTAAAGGATAACAAGTTAAATTTTCAATGTATTATGTAATTTGTTTATAAAGGGTAATCTTAGTTCAATATTTGTGTATAATGTTTTGTAGTTAATTTCATTTTAATATGTATATAACCTTGTTTTAAAATTCATTATTACTTTTTAAAAGTAAATAAATTTTTATAAAACTTTTTATAATTTTCTGCGTTAAATAGAAGTATAAGTTAGATTAGATATATCATGTTAAAAACAAAAAAAAAATTGATTGATTTTGAAAAATTAAAAGTGTTAAGTACTTAATTATGGATGTAATATAGTGTATTTTAAATAACTAATAACTTGTATTTTAAAGATTTTAAATGCTTCATTTTATTTGTTAATGTAATTATTCCTCAATTGTAATTACATGCTTATAAAGTAAACTATTGCTTATAAATTATTTGATAGATGTTAAAAATATCCTAAATGATCTATTATAAATTAATAAAAACACAAATTGTATGATATATAACTGTCTCTTGATTAAAATTTAATTTAATAAACATGGAAAACAAAAATGGAATAAAAACAAGGATAAAAACCAGGCAGCTATTATATCAGTACTTATTCTCATACCGTTTTAATTTTCAAAAAAATTATTATTACAATCATTTCTTTTAATATTCTAGAACTTTAGAGTTCGGCAGAATGAAAGTGACCTTCAATACCTGCACACTAAGACAAGATCTGTTTTAATTCAATTATACATATGAATTAATATTAAAATAGAGCATCTTTAGTATAAACCTATCAGAGAACATAATTTTGCTAGATGTTAAATTTAATTGAAAATTATATATTTTTAACAATAACCTAAAGACAATTTCATTATAGAAATATTAGTATTATGATATATTTAGATATTTGGGAGGTTTGATGTAAAAAAATTCACATTTGAATTTTTTTATTTTTGGTAATTCAATTTAAAATGATTAGTTTAACTTCAATAATTTTTTAATAATTTTACATTATGACGTGTACAACAAGATGCTAACAATGTTTTTAATAGTTAGATATTTTCCTTTTTTTCATTTAATTCAGTTTTTGATTTTAATTCTCTCATAATATACGGTATTTTTTCATAATCTATAAGACTATCCCAAATTCTTTTTGATATTCCTAATACAGGTAGACCCATGGATTCAATAGTTCTGATCATCATTGCATTAGGACCTTTGAGGCGTTCAAGATTGATTGAATAATTTGTTGACTTGCAGAACATAATGCATATTCTAAATATAAATCAATATTTATAAATTATTTTAAATACTTAGAAATTATTAAAACATTGAATTAGTATAGTACTAATCGTTATATATCAAAAAACTAGTAGATACATTCTAAATTATAATGTAACTAATAATTTTGGTACTTAATAATTTTTAGGTTATATTTAAAATAGTTAAATTTTTAAAAAAATGAATAAATATTTACATAAAATAATAATATATTAGAATGAACATTTTAGTTATTTAGTATTTGTAAAGATACTAACTTTCTATTAAGTAAAAAAATTATTTTTATACTATATTATATGGAAAGATAATTTAATAAAATAAGATTACAAATTTAACAGTAAAAATTGCTAATTATTGATGAATTAACAAACAGAATTATAAAAGATATCATTAAATTACTTTCTGATACAAGTGGCATATTTATGAGAGGGATAATCATAACCCCCCATGGACATAAAATAATAGTAGTGGAGTATTCAAAGGTGAATCTCCCCACTACTTTACATTCTAAAAGTTATATGCTCCTCCATAAAATATGTCTGAATACACCATTGACTAGAACAAGGGCCAAATTTGGTTTTTGTATGAAATATATTGTGTTATAACGTATTTATTACTTTTTATTTGAAATTGTGTTTAAACGTTAGCCTTGATTGTGTACAAAAATTGCTAAAGCTATCTTATATAATTTATTTAATTACACAAAGGTTTGGGATTCATATAGTTTACACTATGTTCAATAAAAAAAGTAGTTTTTTATTAATTAAATATTGTAATGATTTAAAACTATTTAAAATAATTAAATATATTATAATTTATACATAAAATATATAATACCATCAATTGCAAAATGTTGGGTATACTATTAGGTGTTAGAATATAATTTATCAGAACTTACATTATAAATACTAATGTTATTAAAAAAAAAATGGATTACTTACACCTTATTATTACTTGAATTAACAATGTCTTCAAGCATTACATCTGATGGATTTTTCTTTACTTCTTTTTGAATTGATACTGGATATCCTCCAGGTCTCATAACCACTACATGATCTGTAATTCATTACAAATGTGTAGCTTTAAGCAGATTAAACAAAAAAAAATATATTACCTATTAAATGTCCTAATTTACTACGAACTGATGTTAACACGTAATCTTCACCACCCAATCCATGCTCTAACGCAACTTTTAATGGATAGTCTTCTATATTTGGATGAAAATATTTAAAAGCTTTTTCTAAAATATCATCTGGTGGTAATGGTCCTTTATAACCACCTGGGTAAAGAGTTATTACTGCACGGTAAAGTTGCACTAAAGTGTAATAATCTAATTGGTTATCTATAAGAAATAAATTATCAACTTATTTTTAGTTTTAAACGCTTTTTACCATACTGTTAAGTTGATAAGTTTAAAGAGTATGTATGATTTATTTATTCTGTAGTGACAGTAAAAGTTACCTCGACTCAAAAATGATTGAAGAAATGACCTAGAAAATATTCTGTTTATCAATTCTTCCGACCAACATTCTAAAATAACTAAATCAAGAGCTAGAATCAACCAGGGTAGTTCTAAAACATCCTAAAAAAAAAAATAAATGTATTATAAAATCTCGATAAAATAATAATTTTGAAACTAAAAAAAAAAAATAATGTGCTATATTAAATACCTTCTGTAAATTCAACCGTTTTAAAATATTAGGTTGTAGTTCATAAAAACCGGGAGGTATGTAATCAGCAATAGCACAACCTGCAATGTATGACAGTAAATTTCCAAACTTGATTTCACTTAAAATATGTGGAGAAGCAATTAAAAGACATGTCATATGATTTAGAAGTTTGAAGCTAACAAATCCCTAAAAGTATACCTATATTATTTTATTATTTCATAAAAGTGCACTAAGTTGAAATAATTTCTTACAATTTTATTAAATTTTTTAATAATGTATGACAATGTCTCAAAGTCAGCTTGCTTTTTTATTAATAGTTCAACAATGTAATTTGAAAAAGGTTCATTATAAAATAAACTAGATTCATTTTGAGTTTTACTTATCATTTTTGATAGAACTGCTTCTATATCATTAACAGTCAAATATGAATCTGAATGCGTTATCAAGATATTCAAACATTTGTTTATTATATTAATATATTGCTCAGTTGAGAAACCATAACTATACAGAGAACAGACCAAATTTTTTACTAAACTAGGGTTGATTTGATCAAAATGTTTAACAATTCTTGACATGACTAAGTCAAATGTATTTTGTGATAATCTGTGTTTAGTAATATAATTAAGAAACTCAATTTCTAAGTGTAAATTCTCAACCATTTTATATCTTATTTGAGTTTCAAAAACTATTGGTAACGCTAACTTTAAAGCATCAACCAAAGGACATGATACCAAATCTTTTAATAAAAAATGAAGAAATGTCATTTGTTGTAAAGATAACTCATTAATCATTTTACTAATTATTTGTAGCATCATTTGCATTATGTTACTCTTCACTGATACTTTTAAATATGATAAACATTTAATGCTATTTAATACATCATTTAGATCTAAATATCTAGCATGATTTATGATTTTATGACACAATGCTGTAAATTCAGGACTTCGAATTAAATCTTCATTTGATAACATTTTACTAAAAAAAAAAAAGTTATTGAAAATTAAATTTAATACTATGAGTATTAAAGTTTACCTATGAGTTTTTTGTAAATGGAAAATTGTGTTTAGTGCTTTTAAGTGTTGTGGTAGTGTCATAACTGTAATATGAAGTCTTAACATTTCAAGCACATCACTTGTATTATTTGCTGTTTTAATACAAGTCAGTAAGACATCACTATTTGCTGAAGTTACTTTCAAATCTGTTTGGGTATCACTGCTTCTTAGTCTAACAGATATTGCATCTACATGATCTAATAAACAAAAATATCTTTTAGAAAGGAATCAGAAAATTTTATTTTATTAATTATAACACATACTTATTAAAAAATAGGATGGTTCATTTTTTACTAATAAATGATTCTGAGAAAATTTCCTTTGACTCAATAAAGTTAATGATTTTAAGTGTTTTGGATGCATAAAATACAAACATTTACAAAATGTATTCATTATAAATTGTATAATAAATTAGCCTGTAAAAAATTGTTTTTTTGATCAAACATTTAAAAATAATTATAATTCAAGTACAATTTATAAAAAAAAAAATTGAATTTCATATATTTCTTTCTAATGTAAATTTCAAAATCAATAACTTCTATTAAAAAATAAATAAAATTAAAAATTGCCAATTCAGAAATTAGTCACAACATTTTTAATCATTAAGGTTTTAACAGGTGAAATACAACTTTCAATAAAAATAATTTTTTAATTAAATATATCAATATACAATAAATATGTTATTAACTAATTTTAATCAAAAATATATATACAAATAAATAAATAATTATCTATACAAATAGGTTAACTCACTTAAAAAAAATACAAATTAATTAATATTCTACAATAGTACTAAGAAATTGAAAATTGATCATGAATTAATACATTTAATTTTTCATTTCAGAAAGATTTGATTCAAAATTCTATATTATTATTATCAACCGTAGATAGATAAAAAGTTTACCTGATAGTACATTGTTGTGTTGCCTATCGTGCAAGTATAGTAGGAACAAAAATATGGAATAATTTCCATTAAACTAATAACAAAACATATTAATAACTCAATATTTTATCATTTCTATGAATGAGATTTTATTAATAATTAAATTAGTTTAAAAGTTTAGTTCATTATTTATGGCTCATGGGTTGTTTCATACAATTTAGATGCGATAACATAAATTTTTCGTCACAATGTAATCAGTAATGATCTAATTAATCAAACCGCTGTAAATGTATCAAATAGAAATATGTAGTTGTACATGTTTATATTTAGATGTATTATTGCTTTTATTTAGTTTTTCTTTTTTGGATCACTATTAGATAAGTTTCCTCTTTAAAAGGCTAGTAATGTACATAACGAATAGTTTTAACTCGCAAGTGGAATGTAACGTATATTATCATGTTTAGTTTGTCTCATTCAACATTTTGAATTTAATACAGCCAGATTTACCTAATTTATATTTTTAATATTAATAGCCTAATTTAGTTAATTTCATAACTCATTATTTTTACGTAATATCTTTTAACTGTTTAGTTGTAATTATATCATTTTTATATTTCGAATAATGAATTGTTCAATACGGACATATTTAAAAGAAAAATGACATTTAAAAATATACCATAGTAGCATAGATTCTGTGTCAGTATGATTGAGAAATATTAATGATTTTCAATGTGATAAAAAGAATTATTATGTCGAAGGGTACATCAAAATATTACCACCAATCTGAGTACTACAAAATATATGACGAAATATCATCACATATTTGGACGAAAATGCTGTGATCCATTACGAGTTCATAAACGCATTATGAAAAAAAGTTTAAAACATGTTTCTAAAATAAAAATAAACCCAGCACAGTGGGGTCGTGGCATATTTGGGTCAAGTATAATGACATCTGACAGTGATGTCGCTATTATAAAAAACGCTTCGATGCAAATCTGTAGATAGTGTTTAATTTAAAAAA